GTCAGATGGGTTCAGCTGCTGGGAAGTCATGAAACAAACTTTATCTCCCCCCTTCCCCCCCACCTTTTGTGTCTCCTCCCCAAGGTCCCAAACAACCTGCGCCTCACATCAGCATCTCTCCGGCCCCCAGGGCCTGCCTGGGTATCTCTCGTCACACTGCATGGCCACACTCGGAGGCAGGTGCCCAGGCCAGGCAGATCTCTGCTCTGTTCCAGTGTGGCCAGGGCTGTGCGCCAAACCCAGAACGTCCGTGTGTGGGCTGAGCACGTAAGCCGGGACCAAAGTGCCTGTCTTGGCCTCACGCCACTCTCGGAAGCGGCTGGCTGCTGGCACGTCTCTGCGGCCCCTGGGGGGGAGGGGGCCAGCGGGTCTCCGTGCACTGCCCATGCCTGCAAGTGCTGCCCCTGAACCGGCCAATGTAAACTGAGGGGATGGTGATGGGGGCAGGGACAGCACACGGAGCCGCCTCCCTCCCCAGGGCTGCAGAGACGTGTCAGCAGACAGCCGCTTCCGGGAGCGGCGTGGGGCCATGGCAGGCAGGCAGCCTGCCTGAGCCCCGCTGCACCGCCAACTGGGTTAGGTGCAGATTAGGTGCAGTGTGACAATATGATCCCTGCATCCAATCTCCCTCCCAGAGTTTGCACCCCTCACTCCTGCACCCCAAGCCCCTGCCCCAGCCCAGAGCCTGCACCCCAACCCCCTGCCCAGTGAAAGTGAGTGATGTGGGGGAGAGCAAATGAGGGAGGGAGCGGGGAATGGAGTGAGTGGGGCGGGGCCTCGGGGAAGGGGCGGGATAGATACTGGGTTGATCTTAAATTCAAAGTGATCTTGTGCGTAAACAGGTTGAAGACCACTGTAGACGACTTTTAGTTTATAAAGCGGTGCTAAGCCCAACTCTCCTCTACGGCTAGGAGACTTGGGTTACTATAGAAAACACCTGAAAAACCTGGAACGCCAGTACCAGCACTTTCTTGGGAAGATCCTCAACATAAAGTGGGAGGGTCATCGCACTAATGTCAGTGTCCTCACAGAGGCCAACATCTTCAGTGTTGAGGCTGATTATCCAGCACGAACTGAGGTGGAGCGGGCACTGTGCACGCTTGCCTGATGTACGCTTACCAAAACAACGGCTGTACACCCAACTCACCAAAGGAGAAAGGAACTGGGGAGGCCAAAACAAACACTTTAAAGACACTCTCAAGATAATCATCAAGAGATGTGGCATCGACACCACACACTGGGAGACAGCAGCCCACGATACGGATAATGGCAAAGCCTTGTCAGAGAGGGAACGTCCATTTTTGAGGAAAATTGCCTTGCCCTGGTCACAGAAAAATGCCAGAAAAGAAAGGAAAGACAACAGTCACGCAGCAATCACGGCCCAACTCTGTCATCCAACACCACCTGCAATGTCTGCCAACGAGCCTGTGGCTCAAAGATCGGACTCCTCAGTCACCAAAGGACTAATGAAAAATAAAACCTGTGAGATCATCCTTGACTCATAGACTTTAAGGTCAGAAGGGACCATTATGATTTTCTAGTCCAACCTCCTGCACAACGCAGGCCACAGAATCTCACCCACCCACTCCTGTAACAAACCCCTGACCTATGCCTGAACTACTGAAGTCCTCAACTTGTGGTTTAAAGACTTCAAGGTGCAGAGAATCCTCCGGCAAGTGACCCATGCCCCACGCTGCAGAGGAAGGCGAAAAACTCCCAGGGCCTCTGCCAATCTGCCCTGGAGGAAAATTCCTTCTTCACCCCAAATATGGCGATCAGCTAAACCCTGAGCATGTGGGCAAGACTCACCAACCAGATACTACAGAGAATTCTTTCCTGGGTAACTCAGATCCTATCCCATCTAACATCCCATCACAGGCCATTGGGCATATTTACCGCTAATAGTCAAAGATCAATTAATTGCCAAAATTAGGCTATCCCATCATACCATCCCCTCCATAAACTTATCAAACTTAGTCTTGAAGCCAGATGTCTTTTGCCCCCACTGCTTCCCTTGGAAGGCTGTTCCAGAACTTCACTCCTCTGATGATTAGAAACCTTCATCTCATTTCAGTCTAAACTTTCTAATGGCCAGTTTATATCCATTTGTTCTTGTGTCCACATTGGTACTGAGCTTAAATAATTCCTCTCCCTCCCTGGTATTTATCACTCCGATATATTTACAAAGAGCAATCATATCTCCGCTCAGCCTTCTTTTGGTTAGGCTAGACAAGCCAAGCTCTTTGAGTCTCCTTTCATAAGGATCGATGGAAAACAGAGCCTGTCAAACTAAGCTGCTCTCTTTTTTGTTATGAGATTACAAGTTGGTTGATAAAGATAACAGCGTTGACATAATATACTTTGACTTCTTTAAGGCATTTTAACTTAGTGCCGCACATTTTAATTAAAAAACTAGAAAGGTAGCAAATTAACATGGCACACAAGTGGATTAAAAGCTGTCTGATGGGTCTCAACATGTAATTGCGAAGGGGGAATTTTCATTGAGCGGGTGTGTTTCTACGGGTCCCGCAGGGATCAGTTCGCGGCTCTATGCTATCTAATATTTTTATCAATGACTTGGAAGAAAACAAAATCATCACTGATAAAGTTTGCAGATGACACTGAAGTTGGGGAGAGACAAATAACTAAGAGGACAGGTCCCTAATACAGACTGATCTGGAGCGCTTGGTAAGCTGGGCATAAGAAAATATGCATTTTAATATAGTTAAATATAAATGTATACATCTGAGAACAAAACGTGCAAGCCATACTTACTGGATGGGAGACTCTCTCCTGGGCAGCAGTGACTCTGAAAAAGATTTGGGGGTCATGGTGGATAATCAACTGAACATGAGGTCCCAGGGTGACACTGTGGCCAAAGGAGCTAATGTGATCCTGGGAGGCATAAACAAGGGAATCAAGTAGGAGTAGAGAGGTTATTTTACCTCTGAGTTTGGCCCTGGTGCAATCGCTGCAGGAATCCTGTGTCCAGTGCTGGTGCTCACAATTCAAGAAGGATGTTGATAAATTGGAGAGGGTCCAGAGAAGAGCCACAAGACTGATTAAAGGATTAGAAAACCAGCCTTACAGTAACAGACTCAAAGAGCTCAATCTATTTAGCTGAACCAGAGAAGGTTAAGGGATGACTAGATTACTGCCTGGTAAGTAGGTACACAGGGAACAAATATTTAATAATCAGCTCTTCAGTCTAGCAGACAAAGGTCTAACACGATCCAATGGCTAGAAGTTGAAACTAGACACGTTCAGACTGGAAATAAGGTACATTTTTAATGAGGAGAGTGATTAACTATTGGAACAATTCACCAAGGGTGGTGGTGGATTCACCAGCACTGACAATTTTTAAATCAAGATCAGATTTCTTCTAAAAGCTCTGCTCTAGGAATTAGTTTGATGCAGGTCTCTGGCCCATGCCATACAGGAGGTCAGACTAGATGATCACAATGGTCTCTTCTGGCCTCGGAATCAGTGTATGCCCTCTACTAGTTCCAACATTTTCAATATATACACAATACTGTGCGGAGTGTGTCTGGAGTGCCAGCTAAAGCTTAATCCCCTGGACTCTATCCCTCCCCATCACCCCAAACACAATCTTGTATGTGTACTCAGTACCACAAGCCAAGCAGGGAGGCAGTGATGTTGCAAAGGACAGGTGCCAACTGCTGCTGAAAGAAACCAAGGACAGGCCACGGTCCCATAGGAGCAGAGTTACACACAGCAGGAGAAAAGCAAAGACTGGCTGGAGACAAACATGCGTAAGAGCTGACACAAAAAGAGCAGAAGCAGCTGAGACCTAGGCCAAAATGGAACTGAAGTGAAGCTCAGGACCTCTGAACAGGAGGGAATTCTTGTCCCCTATGAATGTAGCTACCTTGCTCTCCCCCTGCTCACATTCACTTTCTTCATCGAGACTTTCAGCAGCCACCTCCTTTGCATGGTCTAACTGTAACACAGCACTTTGTGACACACACACACTACACAAAACCCTGCAGTTAAACATAAGCCAAACTTCAACAGCATATTGTCACGTGTATTTGTTACAATTCACCCTGACGTCCTCTATCATAAGCCCTGGGCCTACAATTGGAGCCTGTACGCTCACAAGGTGTTCCATTGAAGTCAATGGGGCGCTGCTCAGGCATACCCGGTACGTGGCTGCAGGGTTTAGGCATTTGAGTGTAAGATATTTGGGGCAGGGATTTTGTCTGTAGAGCATTACGTGCAACTAATAACTAGCCTCCAATTCCATTCGGTGTTTAAGAGCCTAAACGATCAGACACTTATCCTGATGAAAAGTGCTATGCATGAGCTACGAGGTATTATCCACACTTTCTTGGCCTTAGTTGCACAAGAGAGGTCAAAAAGCCCTTCAAAATTAAGCCAGGTGTATTAGTGTTGAAAGGCTGCTGTCTACATCACAGGAGCTATAAGCGTGGATTGCCCGGTGCACTACGGTTTCATCAGTGGAACTAGTCTCATGGTATTAAAACTACTGAAATGTTGCTGTCTTAGGTTGCAGATTTTCCCCGGTGGTGGGGAAGCCAGCTCACAGCAGCTCTGAGAAGCAGTAAGTGACACAGGCCACATGAGGGCAGTCTGAGGGGGATGCAAGAACTAAAAAAGGAAAAATGGTGACAAATGAAACAGATGTTTAAAATTCTTACTGTTTTAAATAATCCAAAGTGTAAAACTTATTCTGAACAATGATCTTCGGTCTAGAGTGTCCCTTATACACAGGGTTACACATGCAAGGGCAGCAGATTTCAGAGTGGAAATACAGAAAAAAATTAATCAGTGTGAGTTTTCATAACAGGAAGACAGATCAACTGTCCTTGTGAGACTCTGCCCAGTCCCAGACATGCAGGGAGCCATCACTTGCTGCTGATAACAACATTCTTGGTTTCCACGGATGCCAAGCATGTGTTGTAACCAGGGGAAAGTCACCGCCGTTGTCCATGCCACTGAAGATATGTCCTTTGTGACTAAACAGCGGCTCTGCTTCTCCACCAGACACAGGCCAGTTCCGTGTGTCATAGATGTGAACGGTCCCATTGAAGCCTTTGTTTAAAGAATAAAAAAAGAATGTCAGACTATAGAAATGGGCGACTGTTCGGCTTGGTCCAGGAGCCCTAACTTCCACTTGCCCTGCTCTGCGAGCTCCACTCAGGAACATTGCGCTCCAGTTCACACATTCCATCCAGGCAGGACAGGTGAGATTGAATAGACTACAGCCCTGGAGTCAGAGACCCCAGGTATTTATCTACCACTGTAAAGAATATAGTGCAGGCTCAGGTAACCCGAGAATTCATTCACCTATATTTATACCATCCCTGTTGAGACAAGACCTCATGGTGTCCCAACAGGAACACTGCCTGGTATCCTAAATCTGTGTATATGTACGTGGTTGGCACTGTTGAACAGGCAGCATTTACCAACAGCTTCCACACAGTTATCAGAGGGAATTTATGTTCTAACTAGAGGAGTCACAGGGCTGGTCTACACTGGTGGGGGGGGGGGGGGGGGGGAGGGGGTAGCGCTCCGAGAAAGGCAACCAAGTCAAAGTATCTTGGATCGAATTACCTGGGGTTCAGACGGCGCGGAATCGACGGCCGCGGCTCCCCCGTCGACTGCGCTACCGCCACTCGCTCTGGTGGAGTTCCGGAGTCGACGGTTCGGGGATCGCTATATCGCGTCTTAACGAGACGCGATATATCGATCCCGGATAAATCGATTGCTACTCGCCGATACGGCGGGTAGTGAAGACATACCCACATACAATAGGGTGACAGCTATTGGCATATACTACAGCATAGAATCATAGAAATGTAGGGCTGGAAGGGGCTGTGACGTTGTGCAGTCTATATGGTTTTATAAAAACATGATAATAAGTGAATATAATGTAACTGGGATATGCTTCGTGCAAAAGGTCTCTTGTAAGGTATCATTACAAAGCTCATAATCTACTGAGTGTGATCATCCTATTTGTAGAAATGTACCACTCTTGTATCTAAAACTAGAAATATAAAACATAACTCTGAGGGCCTATTGTAATTATGCAAAGTGTGGGCCATTAATGATGGTTTGGAATCTTGATGACTCCCATTAACAAGGACCATTGTCTGCAGATGGCTGTGGTTACATGTTAGTCTTCCTGTATACGTGTGTGCTGGCAAGTGGGCAATGAAGTCTTGCAGTGACATGTGATCATGTCACCTGAACTAGAATCCATCTTTAAC